TCAGGGACTAGGAAGATCACCAGCTCATTGCGTGGTGCTGCTGAAGCATACCGCTTCGTAGAGCTTCTCGACTCGAAGCTCCATGGTCGATACTTCGAATACGAAGCAGCGAAGCTATGTAGAATTGCGTTGCTTTGCACGCACGAATCACAGAGCGAGAGGCCGTCGATGGAAGCCGTTGTTCAGGAGCTCGTGACCTGCAGCAGCTGCTTATGATATGATATATAGAATTGGAAGGAGATTTTTGGAGCTGTGAAAGAATGGCTGGCTAACTTGTTGCTCTAACTATTATTTTTTTTTTAATCTCATTTAGTGAATAGTTAATGTATTATGAACTCTTTCAAATGTCACTTTCCTTAGGACACTGAACTTTGGCTGTCACAACAGCTGCCTCTGCTGTCTGTCTGTCTTAATTGCTAACATTTTTTTTTTACTGACAGTGAACTGTCCCCTAATTCTTGGAATCCTGTGAAAGTGGTTCTTATGCCTCCTGGAACGAATGGGGTAAAAGACATTTTACTGTTTACTTTTTTTTTTTACTTGCCTTTTTTGTTTTTGATAGAATTAACCTGAAAAAAAAGAATGACCTTATCTTTTTAATTTTTCGTTTTCGATAATGCTATTCATTTCGATCAAAGACCCAAAGTTCTATAGCTTTGGGTCCGCTGTACCAATCATGATTTTTCTACTCTTAGGGGGAAAAGTCCTTTTCTTTTAGACCGGTTGTGGATGAGGAAGATTCGAACTTTCGACATTGTGGTTTGTAACCACGAGCTCTAATCCTATGAGCTATAGGCTCCACTCTGTTTCCATTGGATTTGTTGAAATTCCCTCAGAAGGTGGTGTGTTGTGAAATTCTTGTAAATTGATCTAACAAGTTTGTCGGAGAACAAGACCTTTAGATCTAAATTATTTAAAAAACTCGGGAAACAGTAAGGAAACAACCCAAAGGAAAGCTTTGGAAAGAAACAGCTTAATGATTTAAAGATCAAGAGTAAAGAAAACTTGTGATTCAAATCACTTTACTAGAGAATTGATGATCATCACTTGAATGACTCTGACATGCAAATTTAAACACAAGAAAAACTCATAAACTCATAGCTTAAGAAGCATAATATGCCACTTTCATTTTAATATCCAAAATTTTTCTACAATTGAAAAATACAATGAAACCTCCATAAACCGAACATGTATGGTAAAATCTCGTCATCCACAATAAAGTTTTTGTGACATGATTAAGACAAGACACCTTATTACTTATCATTGGGAGATTAAAAAAAAAAAAAAAATTAGAAAAAGTTGGTCACATCGTATTTTGAGCATAAATTAGGACAATGTGTTTGAGCAATTGGTTTGCTCAATACAATTCCGAATTGTCAAAGCAAATGCTGATGATGCATTTTATGAATTGCAAAATACCAAAGCACAGATACAAGTTTATATATCTTTGACGGTAGTTGTCTGAATTCTTTTCTCATCAATCAGCTTTGACGTGTAGTACTTTCTTTGATGGGGTAATGTTTTTATTTGAGTGGTTCCCGCTCTTGTTTCAAGAATGAATTTAGATGATGTGAGATCTCACATTCGTTGGAGAGAAGCACAAAACGTGCTTTTTATAAGAGTGTGGAAACCTCTCCCTAGAAGACGTGTTTTAAAAACTTTAAGGGAAAGCACACAGAGGATAATTTCTACTAAAGCAATGTTGAAGGAACTTGAGAAGGTACCTCAACTAATTATACATTGAATTAGATGACAATTTCTATATAAAAAGTGAATATTGTTTGATCTAATCAACTTTGTTCTTCGATACTCTCGAAGCTTTTAGGGGTGATTGGATTCATAGGGTGGAAGGTACCTCAGCCAAGGTGGTCATGGATTTGATTATGATCACTCAGTACTTCGACACACCATTAAAGACCTGGGAAACTCTTCAAAGAACACAATTGTATTTGTAGCTCACGGACCAGGTCATGTTCAGAATGTTGGCTGTGAGATCTCACATCGGTTGGGGAAGAGAACGAAGCATTGTTTATAAGGGTGTGAAAACCTCTCTCTAGCAAACGCATTTTAAAAATTTTGAGGGGAAGCTTGAAAGGGAAAGTCCAAAGAGGACAGTATCAGCTAGTGGTGAGCTTGGGCTCAAATTCAGGACGGATTGACGGAGGCGGGCAGTGGCGAGTTGAAGGTAGAAGAAACTAGCAAGGAAACAAGACCCTTTTTCTTTGATTGTATGTGTGATGAATCTTGAACAGTGCACCAAATATAGAAGGGGGATAAGGCTGTTAGCACCCAAACAATGAACTAAAGTTCGGATTGGTGAATGAATTCGAGATATTCTGTTCTTAAACACGAATTCATTCCAGTTTTGCAGTATGGAGTCCCGTGATTGGGTTCTTGGTAATGGGCCACGGCACATTAGGGGCAACCCTCCTCTACTTCTTCACATGTGGTTTCTATGGTATTGTTTCCCTAACCTTTGTCTTTGATAAGGTTCCTATTTTGGCTAATAAGGACATAAGAAACAAAGAAAAATATGCCAATTACCTCCAAAATTCTCTTCTTTTTTTCTCCTCTCAAAACCCTAATCTCCCAATTTCAAGTCTCTCACCCAAGTTTATATATATTTATATATATAGCTACTACCATTATTCTTATTATTTGAAATTTGACTATGAATCCAAATGTTTACATTGAAATGATGAAAATCACGATAACAAAATTGTGAGAAAACAAGAAGAGCTTTAAACGGACCTTATTTATCTCATTCAAATACTCAAATAACTACATCAAATATATAAATTAGAATGAAATTCTTAAAAAGAGACCAAATCGCAAAGAAGTTTAAATCATAATGTGAGATCTCATATCGATTGGAGAGGGAACAAAACATTCTTATAAGTGTATGGAAACCTTTCTTGTCATATGCATTTTAAAACTAGAAAAAGCCCAAGAAAATAATATATGCTAGCAGTAGGACTGCTACAACCTTGAGGAGAAGTTCAAAAGGGAAAGTCCAAGAAGATAATATATGCTAGCAATAAGAGGAAAAGCCCAAGAAAACAATATACTAGCGTTACAAATGATATTAAAGCCAAACACTAAAAAGCCCAAAAAGAACAATATCTACTAATTAACGGTAGAACTGTTACACAAACTCTAAGCAAATCGTAAAATTCTCCTCAATCAAAAGAATTTGATTGATGGGTTAGGTTAAATGTTAAAGGCGTTTTATTTCATGTTACAAATCCATCAACTTCTTAAGTAATATAAACAAAGAATCTAAATTTTATTTTACATACAAACATTATCTTTTAACCTTTTTTTAGTAATTCAATTCCAAGCGTATAAAAAGATTTCATCTCTAAATTTGATAAATTCAAATTAAAGCAAACATCACCATAATGTATTTTTCTCCATCTACCCTTACAATTTTCAATGGCCAACCACCATGTTTCATCCTTTATTGCCCTTCATAGCTTGACTTTTTTTTAATAGGTGGGTGAACGAAGACCAAAAACATAATATTAATATTCAACTAATAAAATAAAATAATTTCACAATATTAAAATTCTTTTCTTAAAAAAGAAAAGTAAATACAATAAAAGTAATAATCCAGTGGAATGACCTACCAAATGAACATTTGGTAGAGAGCATTATCTAAAAAAGTTTTATTTTTATTATATATATGATTACCAAAGAGAAAATATCTAAATAATTAGTCTAATAATTAACGTTACAAGTTCACGTACCTTCACTCGTGCTCGAAACATAACCCGTAACCCATATTCAAGTTGATGTTTTTCAACTCCTTCAAAAACAAATATATGATATCTTAACTAATTGAATCGAACCAAATATCTCAAAACTTTCTCTAAAACCTTCAAATATTTTCATAATAAATTCATGAAGAAACTATGTAACCATCTTGTTGATGTATAATTACTCCCTGTCAAGGCATTTTCAATCCGTTAATCAATGTCATTATTACAATAATGTAAACATGTTTTGTCAAACAAAGAACCAAAAATTCAAATCTGTCCAAACCAAAAGGAAAATGATTAGACATACAATAGTAAGCTTAATCCCCCCCTCCATTTCACATCAAGAATTAATAAAAGGCTAGTAGGTTTGATAATTATTCTTTCAAAAAAGATATTAATTTGAAAATCCCTATCTATCTCCACCTAGCTTTTCATACACACTTCCTGTTGTTCCTTTGAAATTGGGGCCACTTAACCAATAAAATGAAGGTTTGGTGGGGAAGGGGGTTTTGATGGGAAAATGCATAGTGACATTCCTTTGTAGCAAAGTTCACAGGGAAAGGGCCAAAAGTGCATACCAAAAAAGTAGACTTAGCATGTGAAACAAACAGTAAAATGTCATTCAGACAAAAAGAAAAAGTTGTAATATTAATGTATAATTCCAAGTATTTCTTTTTCTTACTCAAAATAATTCAGATAATCGAGATAATCTCCAACAACAGTGTTCTATTAGGCGAGATTTCACTCCTACCATACAAATTTGACTGAAACAGATGGGAAAACAGAGATAAAAACCACAGATATGCATAGAATCAAGTTAAGAAATATGGAGTATACATCAATTCAATCACTTAGTTTCCAGAAAAATACCTTAGAAATGTGTTTGGAGACCCGCCAATTGAGATTGAAGAAGATTGAGTCAATAATAGTAACAGCTCAGGCTCACTGCTAGTAGCTATTGTCCTCTTTGGACTTTACTTTTCAGGCTTCCTCTCAAAGCTTTTAAAATGCGTCTGTTAGGGAGAAGTTTCCACACCCTTACAAAGAATGCTTCATTCCCCTCCCCAATCGATGTGGAATCACGCAGTAATGCAGGCTTTTTTCCAAGAAAGTATGCTAGCAAGTTTCAAGCAACTTCAAGGCCCTATTTTAGGGGGGCAGAGGAGAGTTTAACAACTATCTCATGGTTTGTCTTGGCTTAAAAAATATATTTAAAAAAAAAAAAAAATCAGACTTCTATAGTTTTCTAAATAAATTTAGATGGTTAAATTTTTTTCCTTCCTGATGAAAATTTGCTAGCTCTACTCTACTAATGAAAAGCAAAAATCCGTTGTTTACTTTTTCTCTCTCAAATCATTCATCTGTAAGGTAATTTCCTACATCTTACCTTCTAGTGACAACTTTCAGCAAGTTTGTTCTCCATAGAAAATTGGGAGAATCAATGCGAAAATAAAGAAAGTAATTTACAAACTATGCAATAGAAGAATAAAGTAAAGTAAAGGTCAAAAGGCAATGAATTCTACCCATTGTTTTCACATCATGGCATATGAAATGGACGGGTATCATTTTAAAACGCAATCAAGCTTGAAAACAAAAAATGAAAACACAAACAGTTCAGCAATTCAAAGGAAGGGTGAAGATTCCTTGTAGAAAAGAGTGTGTCCTGTACAAATAATGATATCTACTTTCCCTTCAACAATAACAGCAATGAGTGGAATGACATAGTAATAGGCATACTAAAAAGTGAATAAGAAAAGTATAATGATAATAATAATAATAAAAAGGTTTCTTCTCTAGTAGGTGGGCAGTCACCATTTCTGACATTGCCGACAAAATCCTCATATATTCCACCATTATTGTATCCCAAAGCCAAATCAGAGTAAATTTAAGACCCTACTGTTCCAAGATAATCAGTGGCATCCTAATATTTAATATCATTTTTTTCATCCAATCTATTCCATGGTAAGTCAATTAGAGGTGGTGTGCGTGTGTAATGAGGTAAATCCTGAAACCCATAATTAAGAGAAAAGTAAAAGTGAATATGAGTCAATCAACTTTATTGATATCCCTAGAAATGAGGGCAGTTTCTCTAGTTGGTGATGAGAAAAGTATAACGATAATAGAAATAATAAAAGCTTTCTTCTCTAGTTGGTAAGCAGTCACCATTCTCTGACATTGCCGACAAAATCCACATATATTCCACCATTGTTGAACCCCAAAGCCAAACCAGAGTAACTCAAAAATAATCAGGGGCAGCTCAATATTTAATATCATTTTTCACATCCAATATATTCCATGGTAAGTCAATGAGGTAAATCCTGAATCCCATAATTAAGAGAAAAGAGAAAGTGAATGTGAATGTGGGTCAAATCAACTTTATTGATATCCCTAGAAATGAGGGCAGCAATGTGTTATTTGGTTTATTCTTTAATGGAAGAAGAAGACCTACACGGACAATCTTTCTCTCATGGGTAAATCTTGAAGAAACTTTATTGAAATTAAGAGCATTGAAGGGCCTAAAGAAATATCATATCTACAAATGTACAAAACAAACATCTTCAAGTTTTTACATTTATCTCATCTAATCCTCTCTCAGCTTTGAACCTTTTAGAACTGTGAATGTGGGGAGAAAGAACATTTTCAGGTGTACCAGATAAGGACGCCAGTGGCATACAACTTGACGAATCCGACAAGGTAGCACATGACATCATTCCCAATACTAATAGTAACTATGGGTTGAATCAAAACACGTCAGAATGAGTTTGGGAAGCCAATTTAACTGACCCCCACAGGACTCCATGCCACCTAAATGCTAAAAATGGTATCTAACTTTCCTTTTTAGCGAGGAAGAGACAGGTATAGGATGCTCAAGACACTATTATGAGAAAGGTAGGACCAGATAAACTTCTAAAAAATTTAGCTTTTTTTTTTCTTACCATAATAAAAGATAACTTGGAAAATTTAGCATCATGGCTCCTTTGAGATCTAGAACCTCCTCCAGTCCCCTAAATAAAATCAACCAAAGACATAGGAGAATATTGTGTCAGATAAGAAATGCCATGGTACTTTACCCCAAAAAAAAAATTATGGATGGAAAATTCTTCCCCAATGAAAGCAAGAAGAAGACGCTTAGGATAAGTATACAATAGTCAAATTTTGTATTAATGTTTGATAGACCTTCCTTGTCAAACATTAAGATTATTGACATAACAAAAGATATTATATGAGTGTTTACTTTCTTGGTTGGAGCCGATGAGTTGAAAAGAATAGTGGAAAATAATAAATAAAACTGTCGCCTCAAAAGCACTACCAACCTGCTTTGTGTTGTGAAAGTTGTTTTCTGAACCATGCATGCAACATCAATTCAAGTTGGTTGCTACATCCCTTTCGGCCTTGTTATGTGCATACTCATGCCGACAGCGCTCCTTGCTTGCCCTTTGGTCAAGACTTTTTTAGCAATCATGCCAAGGCTAACCAATAAATCCGCAAAACTTCAAACTTCAACTTTCAGGTGGAAATTTCACATAAGGGCCCATTCTAAGAGAAAAGAAAATCGTCACAAGAACAGGATGATTTCAATAACAAGGTACAAAAAAATGGTGACAGAAGCGAACAGAACAAATGAGTAAAGAAAAATAAAATGCATGCTCAAAGGCAAGTGCATGAAGGTGACTGACACCCCCCCCCCCCCCCCCCCCCCCCCCCCCCCCCCCCCCCCCCCCCCCCCCCCCCCCCCCCCCCCCCCCCCCCCCCCCCCCCCCCCCCCCCCCCCCCCCCCCCCCCCCCCCCCCCCCCCCCCC